AAAAAAAAAAAAAAAAAAAAAAAAAGGCTAGACAAACAAAACCAGAACAGGTTTTCAGCCAGGTGTTGGGAAGGAATATGGCAATAACATAGTGTCTACAATAACCTAACCAATCAAGTTTAACCTTGACCTAACAAGTCAATGTCCTTTCAGATGGTCTTTGACTTACACCCCACTTCTATTTGTRTAGAAACATTTCTCAGTGTTTTAAAGGTTCAAATATGGGTTAGGGAGGATACTCACACACTTCCTTTAAATAACCTGACCCTTTGGGTTTTGCAGGCTCAGATGGTAACAGGGTACGTATGCAGGTGTCAGCTTAGCTAAGGAATCACTAATTACTGGATGTGCAGGCAGAATACACACAATTTTACATTCAAGCTCTTTAAATGTTGAACAGCATACACTCAACTATTCCAAAGAAAGATGGCAAGAAGGGAAATATATGTTCCCCATACATTAAATATTTACAATGCCAACATTTCTAACTTTCTCAATACATTGATAAAAGAAGCAYGTTATCAACACGCTCACCTCAGCGTGACAAGTTTTAACGTCCCATGTCTGTGAGGACAGAAACGTAGGGCTGTTGGAGACTGGGTTAACACTCTTCTCCAGCATATTGCAACTCTGGTACTGTCGATTCTTTTCTGCAATCATGCTAACGTTACAGTAGTTTACCTTGAAGTAGCAGGCAACTGAATACTGATATCATATTACAATAACAGTAATGCTGTTATCTGTCATCACTTACACTGAACAGAGGTTCTTTTAGCAAAAGTATGACTCTGGGAGGGCTGCTAATTCAATGGCATTGTGTGAACCATGACAGACCGCAGAGCTGTTTCAAATTTTTTCCAGTGACTGAAGTCTCGCATCTTCAGTAAAAATTAAAAATAGTTAACCTACTTTTTTATATCCTCCTATTTGAGAGGTCAGGTCAGGGTGAAATGGGGAAAAGGTAAAAGGAAAAGTAATTAAACTGAGACAACTTGATCGAATGCTGGTTCTGGTACTAAATAAATAAGGATAAATTCCGTTGATTAAGTGACTTTTCCCTGTGCTGGTCTGGTAATAAAGTACTTGAACGCTGGAAAGTCTGTCACAGTTTCAGCTAAAGCACTGGCCCATCAGCTCGTAAAGAACAGACTGTGATTTGAGGCATGAAAAATAAAAAGCAGAGCTGAGGAGGCTTCTGTGCTATGTAAGCTAACAACTGCAGCCGGGCAGGGCTGGGTCCRGGAGTGCTTCCCCACTTTATCTCCAGTGCCATATAAAGGACGTGTATATGTCCAGTTATCTTACCTCTAGCTGTCACAAACCAATACATCGTGTATATACTGTGCCCAGATAGCACAAACTCTTTCAAACTCTTTTCTTTTTAAATAATAGGAAGCTAGCTGCAGTTCAAATTTAATAAAGATTTTGGATAATGGAACTTGGGCTCAAGTACAGATATAAGAAAATACAGATTTCTACTACTTGAATGAAAAAAAAATCTGGGGGCAAAACTAAATTACAGAAAACTGAGCACTCAAACCTGCCTCTGGACTATTTTTAATTCGGTTCTGTGATGTTGTTTTTTTGGTGGTGTTATCTCTTTCCATTCTTATTAAAAATCTGGGAGAAGAAACTAAAGCACTCGCGGTGGGATTTCAGCTCGCTCATGAGAGGAAATGCCAAACACCTTTCCCCAAAGTAGCCTAAATTTCTCTGATGTGTCATGACTGTGTATCGGAGAGGTAGAGAAGCCCAAAAGATGCATGATGAAAAATTGATGAAAACTCTGCGGATCACGCAGACCACACTTGAAACATTTGGCAAAGTGAGCAACGGGTAATTTAGGGCTGCTTTTRGGCAGCCCTACCTTCTGATTTAGTGATTCTGTGGATATTCCCTTGGCTTTTTGCTGCGCTGAGCTGAATATTTTCTGTATCAATGACAACAAATGCAGTGTATGCTAGCTCTAGGAAGCAGAAAAAATCCCCAAAATAATAGAAATTATTATTTTATTATGGTATTACCTGAAGAATCTCAGTCAGTACCTAGAGTCTGACTCATTGGGGCTTCTTTTCTGTGTCACATTGCCGTTCTGGAATCTTTTCTGCAGTTAGAAGATGGTGTCTATTTTCTAGTAAAACAAATAATTTTCCAGGGTTTTGGGTTTGGCTGACTTTTTCTTTAGCATGCCATAAATACTACATACAGGTCTGATTCTGTTTCCATTTTAAATCAGTGAGACCACTAAATGCAGTGAGAGCTGGTTTGGGATTTTTTTGTCTTAATTAGGATGTTTGACAACTCAAGAAGGTTATGTTTAGAAGAGAGTTAGATGGCTGTATCTGGTGTTTAATTTCTCTTCTCTAGAATAAATTTCCTGTTGTAAAAATGCCACAAAAGGTAGCTACTGCTGTTTATTGACTAAAGAGCCAAGTAAAATCCAGCTGTGAACATGTGGGTAATAGGAGGTTTTCTCCATGCCTATATTTGATTTCCACGTGCAGCCTCATGCTGGTAAATATCAGTGTAAGTCTCAATTTTTCTTTTGTGAATAGGGCGTCTGACATGACCAGTTACTTGTACATGAAAAGGTCTGTGAGGAGAGAACAAAACAGTGCAACAATAGACTTATTAATAAGACTATTAATAAGTCTAAGAATAGACTTATTAATAAATTGGAATCTTCGTAATTTAAATAATAGAGATTGTTTCCTTTCCATTTTTTTTGCAGTTATCAGCACACTGTGCTAGACTTGGAATTTTGTTGTGCAGGAAACTCCATTATTTTCACATTTTTTCTCTGCTACATGGAATGAAAAAATCTCATTTTAAATGAAGTTTAGAAATGTTTGAGAGTTAGAAACATTATAGTTCCAGGGAAAAAAATGTTTTAATTTTTAAAAATGCTAGGAGTCTTCTTATGTAAATAAGAGTTTTAATCAGAAGAGTCATCTTGAGAGGTATTTTGTCTTTCTGAAATTTCTAAAGGGATGTTTCTCTGATTATTCGATTATCAAAATAAAATCACATTAAGCACCCTACTTACTCAGTATTTTGATTTTAGCAGCAAATTGCTAATTAGATGTGGTTACCAGCGGATAGGGTAGGACTTGCTAATCGAGAAGAGGGGACAGGAAAACCCAAAGAAGTGAATAAAGCAGCTGCAGGGAGCACGCTGTCTGACCACCGTGCCCAGCAGATTGACCCCCATGTTGGCTTTAGGGTGTTGTGATTTGACAGGTTTCCCTCTGAAAGGAAACACCCAGCAGATGCTGTTGGAGACAACCATGTCACCCTCTCCTGTGGTCCCCCGGGCTGGGGGCCAGCAGGGAGGAGGCAGGAGGGCTGGGCAGCCCTATGTGAGTAGCACCGTTGTATCTTGTTCGTCCCCGCTGCGTGCGTGCTGAAATTTATGCACATATTTAGGCTGCTGCTGAAGAGCTGTGACGCGCAGGATGGTCAGGGCTTTTATCCGATGGGCAGTCGCTAAATGCTGCAGCAGCCCATGCGCTGTGGTTTCAGCGATTTTGCAAACCCGCGTGTGCCTCTGTTTCAAGGCCTCTTACCCAGTAGACTAGATCTATGCTCTTCTATCAAATACTTTTATTCCTTGGAAAAGGTGGATTCTGTCAGTTTTGTTTGCCTTAGATGTGTTTAGCTGAATAACCAGCACTCACTGGATAACCACTGGTCTGCCTGACCTTGGCAGCACTACAGCTGTCATATTTTCACATGGATGAACTGTTCTTGAACAACTTCTCCAATGTATTGGGAACAAACAAGCTTTTCTTCAGCATCAGGAATGCAGCAGGTCTTCCTTTTCCAACTATTTTTTTTTCTCCCTCCACAAACATATTTATTGTGGCAATGGCAAGAAAATCTYACTGCTAACCCTTCATGTTTGGGTTCCTTGAATGTTCCTTCAAGGYAGTGACAGAAGAGAATCCCTAGATCCTATTCAGGGCTTGCTTTCTTTAACTCTTTGTTTTTAGTAAACACAGGTGCTASTGTCTGGTGGCAAGAAAAAGAGGAGGGCTAAATCCTTTTACATCCTTACTGCGTGTGTTGCCATGTTTGCTGTTATTTATCTAATGTGGGCCAAGGCGGTAATTAGCAGGGATGCTGCCAGGATGGGCATGGTACAAGTATATCAAGGCTTTAAGGAGTTTGCAGGATGATGGGTGAGCTAATCAGGGACAGATGATGGGGATTATTTTACACAGGTGGAGTGAACTCCAGCTCCTAGAATGCTTGTTAGATCCTTCAGCTGCAGAAGGAGAATCAGAGGATGGGTATCAGGAAGGAGCCTGGAGATATGAAGGAGCAGCTGTAGCATTTAAAAGCACCAATTTGGGAAATCATCATGTAAAATTAAGGCGGAGCAGTAGCGGCACACAAAKAGCTGAGGGTGGGTTGGGGAAATAGCCCGTCTCTAGCAGAGGGACGAAGCTAATGGTCATGGCACAACTCTGCTTGCACTGAGCCGACATGTCATAGTTTTGCAGGGGACACCTCTTCCTCTTCAAGGGGTACTTTTCTATCAAAATGTGATAAAAGGAGAGAAGCCTCCCGGAGGAGCCAGTAACCCATTTGTGAGAGTTTCCACCTGGAAGGCAGAAGACAAAACCTCAAGTTAATTTTGTGCCTGGTTCAGACTGGAGGTCGGTATTTAACTAGAGGTCATATTTCTATGTCGCTCGTCGCAGTTACTTAAGAGATTTGTGGAAGAGCAGTGCCATGGCAAGGGATTAACTGCTCAGAGCCTTACCTCCTTCAGTAATTTTTACAGCCTGCACTGAGCTGCATTCTACTACAGCTACACGTCACCAAAATTAGCTCTGTTTTTCTCCCCAAACTGTCCCGTACCGTATAACTGTGTCTATATTGGGTGAGAAGTAGAGCATGAGATTTAATAGCAGTGTAAGTCAGTAAATCCAGGTGCTTTCTGAAAGTTTCCCTGATGAGGCTTTCTGGACCTGAGCTAGCTCACACGGAGCTGGCTTGGATTTCTCCRCACCAAATACATCAGTGCTACCAGGGCTAATCTGTAAAGCACAAGATCAGGTAGCTCATGTGTTTGGGGGAGTTCCTCATTTRCAGAGACACTGAATATTCTGTGGTCATTGCCTTGTATTATGAAAAATCTGGCAAGTTTTCAGTAATTTGGGGGGAAAAAATGGGAAAGCAGCCTTGGTCTWGAGATTTGCCGTGTGTTTGGGTGTGTGTACAAGGAGGGTTGTTTATTGCCCAGCTTCATCTCTGGTGTTGCTTGTAGAGCTCGCGACAGGGCTGAGCCAGCGGCATGTGCCACCCTGCCAGGCTTCCCGAGCAGACTGTCACCTCAGGATGGAAAGCTGCGTTCCCTTACACTGTATTTCATTGATTGGCTCTGTTAGTAGTCGGGAAGGGAATCAGAAGGTATGTTTTGTTTGATCTGTGTAGAAAAGAAGGTTTTTAATGGTAGCTATGAGATAATCGATGCCTGAAGCTTGTGTAGCACAGATGATGTTTAGCAGTCATAACTTTGGGAAGAGAATATAAATTGAAGATTTTGTTGATGCATCTCTATTTTGCACATTTTTTTTTTCATCGTGGGAATGAATTGCAGACCCTGGTGGTTAGCATTAATGCTATGTATCCTCTGCAGTTAGTATTMATGCAATAGATTCCTGCCAAAGAGGAAGAAAGTTAGAACTGAAAAAATCACCCCGCATAAAGATTTTAGAGACAACAGAGCTTCAAGTTGTGCTTACAAAGGGCTCACTTCTGTTGGCATTTCTCCTGGACTCTCCCCATCATCTCAATCTGCAGTATTTGCAGAGCGAAGTGTTGCTCATCACKCAGCGTTGCTAATGTTGGACTCTGCATGGCCAATGCACCTGAAGCTGCGGTTTAAAGGAGGACCCGAGTGAGGGGGCTGAGTCCTGTGACTTAAGCCATTCTGCTGCCCATGTTCTCATCCACACACCTCTGCTCTCCTGCCAGGTGTTAGCTGCTGTTTTCTGCCAGCTCAGGAGCTGATCAACTGCTCCTTGCATGAGCGTAGGGCAGTATTTGCATAGCCAGGGAATCCGACCCTAATATGTTCCAAACCGAAGTGCAGCCTATATTTTGTTTTGTCTTCCTGCGAAATAAAAATACAGTACTTGGCAGAAAGTGCTCTATGAAAATGATGATTTTTTTTTTTCTTAAAATAGAATAGCAAACTTGACTGCATAAGTTCAGTGTCTTGAGTGTTCTGAAAATACTGTGGGTTTTTTTTTTCTGTTAATATTTCTGGAGTTTGAATACATTCAAAGGAATTTTTGTTTACCTGCTTGCCTTTTTACTTTGGAGGGGTAGCTTTAGATAAGCTTAATTTCTTCTACAGTTCATTTGGATAAAACTTCTGTGCTTGAAAATTCAAGGGGCCCAGCGAAATGCAAGCAGAGTTAGAACCTGAAACTGGGGATTTGGCCTTGCAGGTCCTGCAAGACAACTCTTGTGTTTCATACTGATTTTCCCAGCTTTTGGGCTGACATCAGCAGATGAGAYGAACCAACAGCGTAGCTTGGGGGGAAAGCATGTGCATGATGTTCCAACCGCGGGCTTCCCAAAGAGCTTTCCCTGTATTTTAGTGGTCGTGGAGCAGGCCCACCCATCTGTGAGGTGCCTGGATGCACAGTAGAGTTGCAATGCAAAGGTTGTTTTCTATACGTGTGTGACATCACCTCTGAGTGCACGTATTTTTAACCGTTATGTCCCTCTCTGCCAGCCCTGGGTTGCCTCTTCCTTGGGGAAAAGGTCGGCAGGATTCCCTAGAGAGCCATGGGACAGCGCACGCTTCTCCCTGCACAACGAGCCTTTTTGAGGGACTTGGCCACACCAGGGCCCGCCGGAGGCCCTGGCTGACAGGGACGTCTCTGCCTCYCAACAGATGGCCGGGCACTGAGTTCAGCGAGCGCTCTTGCGCGGAGCGGTGGTCTCTGGGTCCTGCCGGCATTTCACGTGACAGGGCCAGCTTAGGGCAAGAGGGATCTGGTGTCAGTGCCCTTCATAGCTCGCGAGCTCGGTGACGAGCCGCTGACAGGGACGCAGTTATCCCGAGCGCAGGATCCCGAACTCTCCTCTCCCTGCATTTCACTTTGGTGGAATTAATGCCCTATTTGCTTGTCTCTCAAAATCCATTCTGGCACAAGTACAAACCTTCGCCTGGTGGCGAGCAGTTGTCTGGCTTTGAGATGCCAAGATTTGTGCTGACAGCTCCTTTTACACCATCCGAGTCRGGCTGTCACAGCTGGCCATTAGAGGCTTAAAAAGACACACACACAAACAACAAACAGCACCAACCTTCAGTTACTGAATATCAGGAGCTACTTGATGAGTAAATGTAATAGCTCATACYGCCTTTATTTTAACATAAACAAACACAGCCTCTCCAATCCCCTGTTCAAGTGTTTGGCAGTGGCTGTTTATTTTATATTGATTGCTTGTTCTTGTATGGAAACATGGGGGCTAGTGGGGACTTCCTGGGTTGTGAGCTCGTCCTTGGTCATCATGGGCATCACGTTTTGTAAGGCCCCTCATTACCTGACTTTTCTTTAATGAAAGCAGTCCATTGTAGTTTCCATTTGTCCTTGCCTAGTATGACTTTCTTGTCACGGAGGAAGAGCAAGCACCAAACTTGTCCCTTGGAGAAGYGGCATTGCAACTAGAGCAGGGTGAAGACTGCTCTGGTCACAGAGAGGTTTCCTGAATTTGCTCACTCTGCAGTTTTGCCTTTCTTGGTGTCAACTCTTGCAAATTTTGCTAATGTCATGTTGGGTTGGGGTGTTAAAGGTGGATGCTGATAAAAGCGAACTTTCAAACTTTGTGAGACAGGATCAAATAATCACCTGTCCCTCTGTGTATGGAGTCAGGTCAGATTGGCTCCTGCTTAGTCAGGTGATGGTTATTGCAAATATAAAGCTCTTCTATCTGGTACCACTAGGTTTTAAATTTTAGGATTAAATTTTGAACAATTGAGCTTTAGTAGACCTTAGTCTGTAGTTTATTTTGGACAAAAGATTGATAAACTCTGGCTATAAAGGAGGAAGCCTGGAATCTGAGACCCACTATTATTCACTGACTTGTCTTTATGAGTTTACAGTCCACTGATGCATAACACTGAAGGAAATATTTTCAGTGAAATGTTTGCTTTTTTTTCTTTGGCTTTGTAAAATGCAATGTCTTCTCTTAGAGGTATGTGTCAGGGTCATATAGCTACTTCAGTGAACTGTGTATGGTCAGGAAGTAGACTGCATATAATCTTTTTTTTTTTTTTTTTTTTTTTATTCTGTGAAATCAGACTGTTAAACCAGGACTTTAAGATTTTTGTTCTTTCACTAACCACAATTTGAGCATTAATTTTATGTCCAAATTGGGTTTAATTTTGGAAGGGAGATTTCAATTGTATGGAACATTTTCAGTATTCTTGTATTAAATCAAAATTTGCACAATACAGTGRACTTGTAAAATAAAACCCCACTTAAACCTAAGGGAATTTTCTTGGCTAGCGTTTCTCTGTGCTCTTTCTCGCTGCACTGAAATATGTGTCTCCAACTTCCTTGATGCTCTGGACGGCACCATGAGCCACTTAAAGTGATATAGGGACTGCCTTTGCAAACTTTAATGGCTCTGACACAACAGATCCATTAGGTTCCTGCTTAAAGCTTTAGGATGTGCTTACAGGTTTTGTTGGATTGGGGCCGTGTGAGCTCTGCASCCTTTAAGGACAGCCAGTGGGATGACTTGCCTGAGCTAGGATTACTAATGTAAATAAGGCTGTATTGGAACCAATGCACAGATGTTACATGCTGCTATTGCAAACTGTTTATAAGTTGTTAATGACCATTTCTCTTTCTTCACAGGTTCTTCTTGAAATTTTTTCTCAAATGTAACCAAAATTGCCTAAAAAATGCAGGAAACCCTCGAGACATGCGTCGATTTCAGGTCAGTCACATGTCCTCCTTTTAATATAATCAGCTGTTAGGGACAGAAGTAGTTTGATCCAAACTAACCCTGGAAGATGCTAAAAACATAAGGTCACAGCATAATATCTGTGGGCTTCTCATCATGGCAGGAGGTAGTTGGATTCTCTTGCTCTGCAGAAGAAAACTCACTCAGATAATGCCTCTTCCACAAGTAAAAATGTGAAAAGGGATCAGTGTGATCCCAGTCCTCTGTTGGGGGAAAAAAAATACTGTTATTTCCCTGAWGTGGTATAAATGCATCCTCAGGTGGCCAGAGACATTTCTTATGCTACCTGTGAGTATGCTTATGACCACACTAGGGACAAAGAGGAGCAGTGTCCCTTGGGAAGATGATCTGAACTGTTCTTCCTCAATGCTAGAAGCAGAGTGGTGCTGTGGCAGCAACRAGAAGTAGCTGCTCCAAGCCTCTCTGTTGGAGACATGGACGTTGACTGCCAGGGGCCTTTTACCTAAGTTTGGACTGAATAAAAATTTGGAGTAGAGAGCCAAAGGACCTTCCCTTTCCAAGGGCAGGAGTGCAGAGGGAAGAGGGATGAAATATGTTAGATAATTGTTATGAGAATTTSTCCTAAGGAGCAAAGGAAGGAGATATGTCCTGTAAACTGCATGGGCCTTGGGAGGTAATGGACTCCAAAAGATAACTGCTGCTTTCTGCAGTATCTTAGGACCTTTTTGCTTCTTTTCTGGCATTTTAGCACTTTCTAAAGCACTAAAKGCTATTTAAATGGTGATACTATGTATATGTAAACTATATATCTTTTGTTGAACTGCTTAATTGCAACAAAACTGGAAAGGAGGGTGAGGTGTTATTTACCCATCTGAGCTCAGAAAGACAGAATTGATGAGATATGGCCCAGGGATTAATCTAATCTGAGTGTTAGAACGGCAGAATCCTCTGCTTCTCCACCACGTCCGCCTTCCATCCCATTTTCTCCAGTGATTCCAGTGGGAGTTACGGTCGAGGGAGGAAGCGTTTTCTCCAAAAGGACTTTGGGCAGTGTGGGGATTCGGGCCAGGCGGTCGCCCCTGGGGCCTTTCAGAGCTTGCTTCCCAACGTGCCCACGCGGTTGGTTTAGTGCTCGCCTCRGATGCAGGCTGATTTTCATATGGTAATGCCTCGCCTCTCCCCTCAGAACAGCAATCAGGAGCCCGTGTAGGCGAGTAGGTAGGACATAAGAAAGGTTGTTGATCTCTTGACTTGTAAAGACATTCTGTCATACGAGCCCAGCTTCGCAGCAGTTGAGCTTTCCGTGTGTAAACAGAGACTGCTTAATTACACAGGTCATGTCAATTAGTGTGACCTTAGCATTTTCCAGAAATTAATCACTTTCAGCAGAGCAAAGCGCTCCTACTATAATACAGTGTGATATTGAAGCTTGCAGCGTTCTGTTAAATGCCTGGGCTTATTGTTTTACAATAGCTGCTTTTGTTTCCCTCTCCCTCTCACTTTTTTTTTTTTYCTTAAAAAAACAAACAAACAGAAAACCTTGAACTTGTTGCTCTTTTAACAATGGACTTATTAAAATAAAACAGCCAGACTTTGCAGAGTTTGGCTTTCATTTATCATTTTTTCATGTGAAAAGAACAAGAATAAAAATGGTACRTTGCCAATGTGATGTACCTAGGTGTTCGAGATGCTGTTGTGTAGGTATCAAATATTGTGTAGGTACAAGGGAAATCCTGGCCCCTGTGACTTTGGTGGGGGATTGCTGCCAGCTACCTCGGACTCTTGAAATACTCCCACTGACTTGAAAGATCTGTCTTAAACAGTCCTTTGAGACACAATTTTAAAAGACCATGTGAAAGTATTTCCAAAWGGTTTTTAAATAGTGGCACCCTCTTTTCACCACAATATTTAGGATTTGTCTTTATCTCCTCATCTGTGCTTGGAAGTCAAGCTGCCCAGGGCTCGGTCCACTCTTCAGTGTGGTGTCATTCATCAGTCCCCAAAAGCCAGTAGGAGTTACTAGAAAGCAGCTTATATTTTTTGTGAACAAAACGGGGAAGGGCAGGGCACTATTCTTATACCATCTAAGGATAGATCCTGCAGAAAATCTCCCTTTGTAAAAGTGGTTTTGTCTGCAGCTGGGAATGTCTGGCTACAGCAGGGTCTAAAAGAGGTTAAGAAAGTACAGGGAAAAGGCAGAGTATAATCTGATTCAGAAGACCTGTGTGTGAACCTTCATTCACACTCACGTATAAAAATGAGTGAGGAAGTTGTACCCTGAACTTCTCGTGCAAATATGCTGGAGCTGAAGGCCTAACATAAAAGCAGTGGTGAGGCTGGGAGGAAATGCGTTTCTCTGCATGTGTGAGGTGCCCAGGCCTGTGGCGCTGGGTACCACAAAGCAGGTGGCCAAGTGCCAGCTAAAGTGTGCGCGGGAGCCGTTTGCATAGAACTGGCCCTAATGTTTGTTGTGACTCTATTAGCAGRAAGAGTCAAGCAGATGGGGAAAAACGAATCAGCTCCTTTATTCCAGAAGCCCCGGGAGCAGCTGCTCTGTCCGTCTTTATGCGTTGTTCAAGTCTTCAGGCTTGGTAGAACGGGCAGCAGTGCCACAGTGGGTGCTAATAATAGCAGTTAAGAAGTAGGTGGTATTGTGGGTGAACTCTGCCCAGRTTTTCTGTTTTAGCATGAAAACTCATTTGTAGGACCTAAGCAGTTCGGTGTGTTGTTGTAATCAATGGAACCCACACGGCCCGGTTATCTTGTTCTTTTAATACAAATACTTGCAAATTGATACAGGCCAAGTTTTCATTTGGAGGAAACTTTTCAGATGGAGTCACTGAATAAGACCCCAAATAATCATTTATTGTGAAAACATTGAAAGTCACTTAGAAATTGCCACGCTGTTTGGTGCTGTTATCACAACCTCTTCCTCTGCCGMGGCTGCTCCTCTGCCTCCGTGGGACGCTGCCACTCATGTTTGAATTGAAGCCACTTGTGTCTCATTGCAAATTTGCATAAGAGACAGAGACGATGCTTCATGAAGCCCAGATAATGGAATTTGGACATGCAAGGCTCCATCCCTAGAGAAAGAAGAGGCAAAAAAAAAAAAAAAAAAAAAAAAAAAAAAAAAAAAAAAAAAAAAAAAAAAAAAAAAAAAAAAAAAAAAAAAAAAAAAAAAAAAAGGAAAATAGGGAAAATAGCAATGAGCACTGTGGCCCAATTTGATGAGGTAATTAAGTATCCGTGCTGTCCTTAGGCACGTGGGCAAAATTACTGAATATAGTGTACTTATGTACTTTTAAGTTAAGCACGATTTTAAGTGCCTTGTTAAGGTGAGAGAGTTTCTTTTTTTTTACTTATAGTAAGGAAGTCAAGAAGTTGTATGAAGAAGTTACCAAATGGTGATGAATATAGAAGATAGAAAAGATTTTGTTTAAGCCATTTTTGGACAGTTTTGAAGGAGTGACAAGAGCAGCAAATATCAGGGTTACAGGTTAAGCACTAAAGATACACTTAATGCCTGGAAATCATCATAATCAGATATTCTCTGCCTTTGTCACTAGATATCGAGGAAGTCAAAAAAAAAAAAAAATCAGATCTCTCACCATCCTTCAGAGAAAACTGAAAGCACAAGGAACATGCTATGTCTTAATCAGTTGGCAAAGCTTAATGGGCTGTGGTTAAAAATGAGGAGTCATGCAATGCTTAATTTTGATGTATTAGGTGAGGTACCATAACAAATAAACAGGCCGAGTGCTAAACGTGGATAAATAGCTTGATCTCCAGGCTCCTGGTCTCTGATTTTTTTTTTTTTTCTGACCGAGTTCCACAGCATTCACAACTGAACTATTTAATGGCAGGCAGAATAATTCACAGGCCCATGATAAGTTAATGCAGTTGATAGTGCCAACTCGATTGAACAACGTCGTAAACCAGTGTGTTTTTTCATACCTCTGTCTCCCTCGGTGTTGATACAGGATTTAGATTCAAAATCTGTGAAGGGCTGAAGCTGAAGCTCAAAATCATTTTCTGTGTTTGCCTGTCCCAAATTAAAACTGTGTTTTGTTGACAAAATTTGGAAAGGTTTGAGATTTGGCAGGCCTGGTTGTCCCTGCGCTTACATTAATGTGTCAGCACCTCATTAATCATTTATTAAACTGTAGTGGGCCTTTCCCTCTTGCTATGGTCTCTGTTTTAGGATGCCTCAGTGCCCATTTCACATCTACTTTGGCTCTCTCTCTCCCTTACCTCCTCATTTTTATGATTTCTCCACAAATTAGTTTTAGCATGTGCTTTAACTTGAACATGTCCCAGTCGTTTCAAAATCAAAATGAGGAGAGTGTTGTATTTTTTTAGATTAAAAATATGGGCATAACTCCTAAGTACGTAAGTGCTCTGCAGCAATCCAAATATGCAACTGTGGCACACAATATTCAAGGTATATCCTTTCTCTGTTAATAATTAGGGCATAAATATTTTGTTAGGGTGGTATGTGTTAAGTATTTCTGCATTAATGAGGTTTTGTGTTTCAAGAATTAGGCAGGGAGTGTGTGCTGTATGTGGTGCAGGTGCAGTATGAATAATCATTTTTTTTTTTTTTCAGACACATAAGAGTAACCACTTTTTTTTTCTGCATTTCCTGAGACTGGAAACAGTTTCTCTTGGGGATTCCTTTTATAGTTTCTTCTGCTAACGACACTGAAGAACCACACCGATGTGGTCGCTTTGTAGTAAATCATATTCTCTGCTCAAGAGGTAGATAGGATGACAGTGTTAAGTAATTCAAAATACATTGCATCAACAGTTTTGGAAACCTGAGGAGGTGAAAAAAATAAATGAAGATATACTCACATAAAACTGATCACATTGGGATTATCTTCTTGAGAGTTCTTTCCTCGGAAAAGACATATGTAGAGATAACTGCTTAAATATCTAGGAACCAAATATCTGGGACCTAGATTACTATTATTAACACTTATCTATTTATCCTATTGCTACAAACATTCAAAAATTTGGATCTCAGCAGCTGACTGATCAACTTCAGCGGGAATGTGTGTACCTATATGATGTTAGGACTGGGTGTGCTGTTTGGAGAAAATATTTCAGGTGGTGGCCCTTGTAATTAGTGATGTGATCTTTTCACATGCATCTAAGTAGACTTGCAGAAGAAGAAAGGGGTTGATATGAAGCATGGAGCTAAGGCAAGGAATGTCAGCAAAGAACTTGGTTCAAAATCCCAGTTGCAAGGAATTTACAATGGTTGCAAGTGCACAAATAAGACTGCAAACCCTGAGCCACTTATTATAATATCATATTTTATTGAAAATATCATAAACTTTATTCTATCCCTCAGGAATGTAATGGATAAATTACTTCTGAAATCCCTTTTGGAATTTTATATATAGGGCTTGTTTTTTCCCCCTAGTTTGATTTCAGAAGAACTTACCTACAGTGTCTGGTGCTTTTTTTTTTTTTTCTCCCCCAAGTTTCCATCTGCAGGGGCTCTTGAATCATTTATTCTGTGTTTTAATATCTTTGACTTAAAACACACACAAGAATCTATGGCTTCGAATGCCATTCTGAGGGACTGTTTCAGGAACCTTTCCATGTAAACTATTCTCTTTTTGTATTCCTTTTTAAAGACAAAGGCTCCCTGCATTAGCTATGGGTAGCTTGGCAGCTTCACTTGCTTTATATTTTTTAGGTGTCTTATAGGTGGTCAGAAATGGGTGGAAAAAAAAAACACTTTTTTTTTTTTTTTTTAAATCCTATTCAAGTGGCAGAATTGAATTGTTGTAAGCGATCCTTTAAGTGTCCCCATTCGACCAACTTTGAGAGGCAGCGGCTTCCTGAGAGAGTTGCAGCAGTGTTTGCCAATCCTTGTAAAGCATTTCACCTCTTCAGAGGCTAAAGCCTCTCAAAACCAAGAACAATTAAAGCAAGAGCCTTTCAGAGCGGCGGGGGAATTCAGGAAAATAAATCAGAAATCCTCTGCCTGGGCTCTGGAGGCTTGCCTCATTATAAGAGCAGATCTATTAGCCCCCTTGCCATTGTCTTTCATTTCTCAAGTGAGGTGATTCTAATTAAATTAATCTGCATGTCAATCTATCGGTGATCAATCAAAAGGGCTGAGGTCCCCCTTTGCGGCACTGTGCTTGTGGCTGACAGGGGCTGATAATGGAGGAAGAAATAAACTGTCGAGCAAAGTTAATTAGTCAACATAATAGGTGGATTAAACAGGAGCTGCTGATTGCTGTTTCACATGTTGAAGCATGAGGTGGGAGCTGAAACTGCAATTAACAGACAATTATTATATTTGGTTGTAAGAGGTCGCATGAATAAACATATCTCTGTGGGTTTCAGTTTTTAATCCCTTTCCCTGTTTAATATAAGGAGAAGTGTAGGTCATTTCTTCTTATTGTTTTAGGCGAAGTTCTCCAAGGGAGTGCAGGCTCCTGGCAAGTGGGCATACGCCTGCAGCCCAAGGCCACTTGCACCCACCCCATTTCCTCCTTGCTTAGCCTCAACCTGGGTGCTTTAGAGCAGGGTTGTCCTCCTGGGCTATGTCTGTTGAACCTCCTGTGCACACGTCCTTGAGGCCACCAGCATGGCCAAGGAGTTGAGTCTTCTGTTGCACCTTTGCGCTGGTTCCTCCAGAGCAATGCTCAAATGAAACCCCGTGTTTCAATGTTGAGATGAGCTGTGGAGCACAAATAACCCTAACGCAGGGTGGATAGGGTTGTACTCTCCAGCTCGGGACCCCCATGCCACAGCTGCATGTGCACACAACGTGCATGCGTATTTACTGTTGCAGTAGAGCTCAGAGCAGGAGAAATCTGGTTGAGTCCAACAACTTGTAATGCTGGTACCAAAGGGAGAGAGGTGGTGACGGGTTGCGGGGAGGAATGTGACTGCTCTCCTTGCAGCTTTGCAAAATACACTTTTCTTTTATTCCGAATCGATTCTCATTTGCAATGTCAACAGCTCTATCTACTTTAGCACAGAAACTGAAGGATAATTTAGGGTGAAACACAGCTGCCCTTGTATATGGGGGAAAAATGCTTAATAAAGATCCTCTTGTTAAAATGATGGTTAACAGTGTGCCGTCTGCCGTGCAGCTACAAACTCTGCAATTTGACTTAAAACTGCATCAAAAGCTTTCGATGCCAAAGACCCACTCATCAATAGCRTCTCTTGTTAGATTTGTACAGCATAAGCACCAGTTATTATGCGAAATAGCTATGCAATTTTCTACAGCTTCCAGCTGTTATTTATTTAACTGAGTTTATTACACGCTATGCTGCTTAAAAAAAAAAAAATACGTACATATTCAAATGTTCCTTCATTTTGCTCTTGTGCTTGCAGGTTGTGGTGTCTACAACAGTCAATGTTGATGGCCATGTGTTGGCAGTGTCGGACAATATGTTTGTACACAACAATTCCAAGCACGGGCGGAGAGCTCGAAGACTTGATCCCTCGGAAGGTACGCCTTCTTATCTGGAACATGGTAGGCATATCATTTTCATTGGTTGGCATTGCTACTTTAAACGTGGATTTATTTGGTTTCTGTCCCTGACCTCTGGTTTCAAATTGTCCTGTAACAGTCCATACCTGTGGGAACAGATATTTTAGAGAGACTGGCCTCCAGACCAAAGGTGGAGTTTTTAAGTAGGTCAGCACTAAATGTAGTGAAATGGTAGGCAAACATGGATGCAGAATCTGTCCTGGGTTTCAGTGAACCTTTATTTATTTATTTCTTCTATTCAGTACCCAAAATGGGAGTCTGACATTTTCCAAGCTGTCTTGATTTTTCAATCTAAAGGATCTAAGCATCTAAACGATTTTGGTTATTTTCTGAGGTACTCGGCGCCCAGAACTGTGATTGGGTTCCTACCATCTATAGAGTGCTGAGATCTCTAGGAGATCCAGCTGTTCCTTTGAATTGCCCTAAACGAAAGCAGAGCCCTTTTGGAAATCCATCTGCTTGCTCAAGCCATGGACAAATGTTCTCTTCTGGCTCCAGCTGTGCCAGCTGAGAAAGATGCTGCTCCCCGTGCGGCACAGCTGCCGGCCTCTCCTCCCTGCTGGAGGCTATTCTCCATGCCATGGATATGCCAGCTAAGATGATTGTCTGATTGCTCCCTCCTCTGCTTCAGTCCAAAGAAGCTCATTAGATTTCAGCATTTTAATAGCTCTTTGGGAACCCTTGCATTGTTTGAGATGCTTCATGTCAATTTAACTGGYGTTTCTGAAAGGAGTGTGAACATCCACAAGAGTGGGATGGGGCAGAGAGCTGGAAGCAGACTGGGGCACAGTAGTCTTCTCCCTAAGATCAACCGGTCCTGGAGGAGAACATCTGCTGGTGCGTGTAGGTGCTTCRAATGGGAGCTGTTGAGTGCAAATGTACTTTGAAAAATCTGGAGTTGATTAATGTTTTGTTTTGCTCTTTGTCCTCAAAGTTGATGACTACTACTGAAACACAAAACAAAAACAGAGGGCATTTCACTCCGTCTCTCTGTTGCAGCTTGGTAGAATTGTTCTGTGTCTTCAAAGCTGTTTATAATCCTAAATTCAATAGGTGCTTGCTCCCTCTGAGATGTGTGCCCTCAGCTTCCATTGAAGTTGTTGAGTGTGGGAGGCACTGGTCCTTTATGCTGGTTTGTTTCTCAAATATTTGCCAAGCATCTGATGAATAATTAAATAGATTTTCCCAAAGAGTTTGAAGAAAGCAGATAAAAATTTCTCCAGAAAAGTGAATGCCACTCAGAAAAATGTTAACTAGATATGTTGAAACAAATTATCAACAGCAAGAAATGGGTGAATGTGTGAATTTCTGCCAGTCATTACATTCCTGTGGAAATAGCATCCTATTCTATTCATGCTTTCAGGCATCAGTCCTGCAAGCACTTATGCATATATTTAAGATTACGCACACATATGGTCCTGTTGGGATCAATGAGGCTTCTTGTGTCAGTAAAGTTGAGTGTATTGATAAGTGTTTGCAGGATCGGGGCTGTAGTTCACACGTACTAACCTAAAATTCTTAGCTCAGCAGCGTTTCTCATTATACAAACATAACTTACATCTGTATTTATTTAGCTCTAAGTTTTTACGTAGGCTATGAGCCATTTTCAGCCGTAATTCATGCTATAGATATTTTTTTCATGCTGCCAACAATCTAATAAACCACTGTCATAATTTTTGCTCAATTTTTATAGAAATGAGCTGTGCCTTTATTAATTAGCAGGAGGCAGAATATTAGAATAGAAAACTTCACTCTATTCAACTTTGTAAGCCTATTCAGTCTTAAAAATAAAAAAAAAAATAAAATTATTATTATTATTATTATTATTAACTTCTATTGCTAGTAAAGCAGATGCCATCTTTTATTTTTATTTCCTCTCTCATCCTCCTAGTGCTGTCTCATCAGTGCATGCTTTTGGTCAGACTTGCTTTCTCATGCTTGTAAATGTTCCTGTTCTTGTGCATGGTGTGATAACAGCATCTCCTTTCACCACGTCTGGCGTTCCCACTCCCACTGCGTGCAGATTCTGTTAGCAAAAAGAAAGAAAACAAATACACCTTAGTTGCGTGGATAATATATACCCATGCCAACCTTAGCTGAAGTGCTGCCATTAAAAGTCAACATCTGCAAACTATCTCCTCGTGTTCTTTTTGGTGGGAAAGGTGATTTTTCTAATCTCCTTTCCCAGGCACCTCTCAAACAACCTCGTAAAGCAACCACTAGTAAATTCTTACTTTTGAATGGCAATTTCTACACTACAAAATTACACTCTTCCCAGAGTCTTGTAGAGCTTTTTTTTTAAAGCTAAATCCTTCAATCCCTCTCTCCAGGAATCCTGTGCATATTTCTGTCCAAGAGAGGAGGAAAAAAAATCATCCAGTAACTGTGTTAAATGCTAGTATTATATGTCTAAAGCATTTAACTGAATGAAAAAAAAARRGGGGGGGGGRAGTTTCAATGGGGCTTAATACTAATGAAGTTCTGGGCAGTCACCCAAGACTTTAGACCCCTTGGAACAGACGCATTTCCTCTACAGAAATTAAATTTTATCTTCAGTTTGGGTCCCCAAATCTATTATTTTTCCTTCTCTTTTTGGAATGTTCACCTTGGATTATATCTTTAAGTGTAAGTAGAAAAGACAGTTTACTCATCTTTCCCTTTTCCATCTTTTCTGGCATTCTGAGCRGGAGGGCAGGTTGACCTAGACAATATGGCAAGGCAGGAAGCTAAGAGCTGGGGGTGCATCGCCCCTAGATTATTGCTCTGCTGAGCCACTTCTGATCATAAGTTATGAAATGCTGACTTCTAACTATAATATACCCTTGACTAATATTTTCTTGTGTACTTTTCTAGATATTTAACTCCTTAGCACAAGTATCTGGCTGTCATAATGATGAATGTCTGTCTGTGCATGAGGTTTGAGTTGGGGAAAGGAGGCAGGGAATGGAGCAAGGAGGTGTCCTGGTTGCCTGAGTAATTTTATTTTTCCCTACAAAGCAGTATTGGGAAACACAGTGCTTAAACATTGAATTGCACTTTATGTGACACCTTAAAAAAAAAAAAAAAAAAAAGTCTTTGGGTGCCAAAAAGCTGCAAAGAAAATTTTACCTCCTGAGCCACTCAGGAGCCCAGTGTTTCCACGTCTGGGTTTTTACCATCTCATTAGCAGGTAGCCTGGATTATTTTTGGGACATCCAACACATCTCTATTTATATCTTGCTTGTCAGACAGTAAAAGGAAAGTTCCTTCTCGTCACTCATCTCTCTGAATAAAACTAGGAACCTAGATCATGGTTTCACATCCACATACTGTCCTCCTTGAAACCAGCGGGTTAAGAAGCTCCCATTTCAAATAAATATATCTATCTTTCAAAAATAATAGCTGGCAGAGGCCAATTATTTCTTACATCTCTGTGTGGTATAAATAGGGTGAGCCACAGTAATCTGTGGCTTTCAATAATTATCACTTCTTCATTCACAAATAGYTGGATGCTTGCTTGTTTTATATTTATGGTAAACCAGAAGGCTGGTGTGGTTGACCTTTCTAAATTGTACATATATAGTAGGATGTATAGGGAAGAGCCAATAGGCCCTGACCAGTAGAATATATTTCAGCTTGTAGTTCGTCCCAGGGAGTCAATTTTAAGAGGAAAAGCTTTCCAATGCAATTTAAGTGAGTAGGTTATGGAAGAGGGGCAATTCTGACAGGGTTTGCACCAACTCTTTTCAAGTTTACCAGCATGAAGTCCACCACTGCAAAAGTTTCCAGTCAAATCTCTCATATTGCAGCAAAGTAAAAATTCTTTTTCTTCTCAAATCTCTGAATGGTTTTACTAGAATATAAAGCCAATTGCAGCATCAGTTTCTCTATTATTTTTCCTCCCTGGCAGAATGCAATGCCCTCGAAAAATGATAGTCCCTGAGACCCTGTCAGTTTGCATGCTCTAACACTTTATTATCTAATGATCTAATATGCAACAAGGCAAAGAGGGGGTGCTTATCACCCTGACAGGATGCCTAAGAGAAGTGACTAAATTACTTTATGTACCATTAGCACTAGCTGCCACGGTGAACTCACTGTGAGCATTTATGCAAATATTCCTGAATACATTCAAGTGGTCTTGTCAGGAAGACGACTGACAAGCAGCTTAAATGCTTGTTTTTTTAAAGGGCCAGTTTTATTTCTTTTCCTCCTTACTCCTCCTCTTGCTCTCCAGAAGAATGCAATATATACATATATATATATACACACATATATTTTCTGGTGGTTTGATTCCATCTCAGCTGAAAAGGAGCAAAAGAGGAAAGSTGCAGGGTAGACAAGAGGGCAAACTATGAAACGTGATGTCAGAATTTGCAGATAGCAACAAAAAAAATCCATGATTGCTAACGTCATGTCTTTGTTTTAATATGTAATGTATAAAAAATTGTGTGTGTGTGTGTGTGAATGTGTGTATTTAATATAGGTCACCATATAGTGATGGTGTGGCTAGTGGCTAATTTATCCTGGAAATGTTGGTTCATGGCTGGGTTTTTCAGTTCCTCTGCTATGATACATGTGATGGACAAGACTTTACTTTGGTGTCCTAGTTCATGGTGGGAGCGAGTGATTCAGCCAGTTTCCTATCTGTAGATGCAAAGCGTAGTGTGAAGAAAGAGTAGCAGTGACCRTGCCTGGGCTGACTTACGTCAAGCAGATGATGTGCTTTGGTGGTGGGGCCCTGTGAGAGCCTGTCCTTGCTAGTCCTGCACCATTGGTAGTCACAGCCTGCAGATACCACCTGAGGTAGATTTCCCACTAAAGCTCCAGAGTGGGCATCAAGAAAGACTGCTAGGCTGTGTCTTAGTTTGTAAGTTTACACACTTACAAACTGGTCGTATTTAAACAAAGGAACTTCAGTATTTGTCTCATTAYGTCTTTGGGTGAAATCACCTGTTATATCTTAGTGCTTTACTTAAAACTGTTTTTGTGATTGTGTGAGA